ATCATGGAAGACCTGGGCCTCTCTGAGGGGCAGGTAGTATTAGATTTTCATATTATTATTGTTAGTGTTATTCAATCTGTTAGTTTCCTCCTATAGTTTTTTAAATGTAGTTTTGTATCCTCTTGATTCAGTACTCAGTTTTTGCATCAATTATGACAATTGGAGCAATGTTGGGTGCACTGATGAGTGGAAAGGTTGCAGATCTTGTTGGGCGGAGAGGTGTAAGTTAATTGAATTCATTTAGTGTGTATCTACTGCAATTGGAGCGTTAGGAGGATAGAGCCAGTAATGGAGGTTGTGAAAAAAGGGAGATTGTATTTAGAGGATGCTCCACTTTATTTCATTGCAGTACTGATTCCCTGAAATTTCAATTACAATATAATGCAGGCAATGGGAATCTCAGAAGCATTCTGCCTCACAGGATGGCTTGCAATAGCGTTCTCACAGGTTTTAAATGTTTTCTTTTGGTTATCTGCTCACATTTCTTTAGTTATTTATACCTTCGTATTTGATTTCATGGGAATCATGCGTCATCACACTAAGTTCTTTTGCATTCTGGATTTTGGATGCCAAAAAATGCAAATTTAGGAAGAATAAGTAAGATATTAGGATTTTGTACCTGATTACCCTCTCTGTATTTTCAAGCATCTGAAATGCTCTGGATTGGAATACACTAGAGTAGTTCAAGGATTGGTTTTTGATATTTTATTTCTTCTTAATGTTTTCTGGAAGGCTGCATGGTTGCTTGATATTGGAAGACTGTTTGGCGGATGTGGGGTTGGGCTTCTTTCTTATGTGGTAATTGACTAATTGCAATCATGAATTCAATTTACGTTTGCTACTAATCATGTTTCACATGTTAAGGATCTTCGTCCTTCCATTACTGAACAGGTTCCAGTATATATAGCAGAAATTACTCCCAAGAATCTTCGAGGAGGCTTTGCGACTGTCCACCAGGTAAAGAAAAGCTAATACCACCTCCTACCATGGATTAAGCTCTCTGCACCAATGCATAAATTTTCTGCTTTGATATTTTACAGTTCATGGTTACTTTTGGCTCAGCCATGACATATTTTGTTGGAACTGTTGTCTCTTGGCGTATCTTGGCTCTTATAGGTAGCATAATTTGTCTATCTAATTTCCTTAACTCAGTTTGATTCCTACACATGCCTACATGGTAGGTTTAAGTTGAGGTTCACTGTTTGGTTTTACAGGAGCTATTCCTTGTTTGATACAGCTGCTAGGCCTCTTCCTTATTCCAGAGTCTCCAAGATGGCTTGTAAGAAAGATCAACACTTTTCTCTTTTTCTTTTGTGTTTCTTTCAACGAAATTGAGCACAAGGCAATGCAAGTCATAAGTCTAAACTTATTAGGTAAGATGTGTAAATTTTCTGCAGGCAAAAGTTGGGAAAGAGAATGAGTGTGAAGATGCTTTACAGCGCCTTCGAGGAGTTAATGCTGATATATCTCAAGAAGCTACTGAAATTGAGGTGACCTTACTGAATTTTAAGTTTTAAAGCTTAGGTTTTGGTATTAGAATGAAGACTAACTGGGGTTTTATTACTTTTTAGGATTACATAGAGGCACTTCAACAACTCCCAGAGGGTAGTATTCTAGAGTTGTTCCAAAGGATATATGCTCGGTCGCTCATTGTTAGTATTCCAAAACTTAGTCTTGCGCTCTGGCCTTTTCATGATTATTTCTGCAATTTTTTTTTTTGCTTTTTTGAATATCAGATTGCAGTTGGGCTGATGTTACTACAACAATTTGGAGGTTCTAATGCAATTGCATTTTATGCAAGTTCAATATTTGAAAAAGCAGGTAGATTATGGTTCTTTGGTATTCCATCATATGAATCCTGAATATAATCCAGAATATATCATAATCTAGTCAAGTCTTGTTTTTAACAGGTTTTTCTGCCACAGTTGGGACTGTAGTAATGGCAGTTGTTCAGGTTGTTGTTTTATAAACAGTAAATGCTATTTTTCTTTCCTTTTTGTTTGATCATTGTGATTCCGAGTGGATTTTCATTTCTTTACAGATTCCAATGACTGTATTAGGTGTACTCCTAATGGATAAATTGGGAAGAAGACCCCTTCTAATGGTAAAGATTGGAAGGGTGCCATTTTGACATTTCAAAGCTTATGGTTTTGCCAAACAAAATGTCCTGGAACTGAATTACAACTGTTTCTTACAGGCTTCTGCATCTGGAACATTTTTTGGCTGCCTACTAGTTGGGGTGTCATTCTCATTGCAGGTTTCTCTAAATTCCTTCTAGGAAAATTCTAAGGACATCATCTGCTACTCTTACCTCTTGTTATTTCCTAATAACATAACCCCATGACCAGGACATTCAGTGGTGGAAAGACGTCACTCCTGTTCTGGTGTTCATCGGCTTAGTGGTAATTTACTCCAAGCAGATAAACTTCTTTCCTTTTTCTCCTCATGCATATACAAAATGCATATAGGATCATGAACATGTTATTATGCTCATGATTCTCCTGTACAGTGCTAGTTTTTGTCTCAGATAGATTGTTTCTCCCTGAAGCAATGAGTTTTACTGGTTTTCTAATGGTTGTTTGATTCTGCAAAGATATACAATGGATCTTTTGGACTCGGACTCGGAGGAATACCATGGCTGATAATGTCTGAGGTCAGTCAATTTGGTCGAAACACAAAACTGTAATTACCTTGAAATCATGATAATAATTAAGGAATCATACTAATGGGTAAAGTATTATTTCAGATATTTCCCATTAACATGAAGGGCTCGGCAGGAAGCCTTGTCTCTTTGGTCAATTGGTTCAGTTCATGGATCATTACATACATTTTTAACTTCTTAATGGATTGGTACTCTGCTGGTAATTCCTTCTTCCTGCTGCCTTCATTCCTTTCCCATGGATGGAGCACATCTGTACACAACTGCTAACACAGTATCATACAGACCATATTTCAGGATGTGATTCATTCCATCCCTCATATTTTCAGGTACATTTTTCATATTTGCAAGCATTGGTGGCTTAACTGTTATATTTGTCGCAAAGATGGTACCAGAGACCAAAGGACGAACGCTAGAAGAAATACAAGTGATAATAAACCCACTAACAGCAAAAAGATGAGCCAAACCATGCTTGTGAAAATGGTGGAACTCTACCAATATATCATTGTTGTTTTTTCTAAATTGATGTTAGCTTATGGTATTGTTATGCTATTGCCATGATTCGAGAATTTGAATGTATGCATGTTATTACTGCCACTGGACAGTGATAGTAATACCTACGAACTGAGATGTCATTGAGGTTTGTTGTTTAATTAATGCTTCTTCTTCTTTTTTTTTTTTTATTACAAGGGGGACCAGGTTCCAGGGGGGAGGGGAGCCCTTTTTCTTTTTCCTTTTTTTTTTTTTGAAAAAAAAAATGGGAACAAAAGGAATATATGGGGATAATAGAAATTTTAAGTGGGACGCCTCTAATATCTCTCTACTCCTAATCATTTATAGTCTATTTGGTTTAAAGAAAAAGGAGTTGAGGGAAAATTAATGTAACCAATCAAATTATTTTGTCAGCCCAATGACATAATTTAATTCACCAAAACAAGATCAGTTTCCCTTCCCTCCTTTCCGTTTCCTTCAAACCAAACAAGCTATTTACGTTCTCCCTTGCTAAAGACATCAGTTTCAGGGCCTGGCATATCATATGACCTCTTGAAGTAAAAGTAAGGGTATGGCATAGGCCTAAAATTCCCCCACCATTTGTTTCGTTTGTTACAGATAATAAATGCATTTCCTTCTAATTTTTGGGGATTTTATTTGATTTTTTATTATTCAAATAACACTCCTAATTTTTCCAAGTCAAATAACAAACATCCGACCTGACTGATTTCTTGGAGAAATTATTTCCTCTGTTCCTATTTTTAGGCAATTATTTGTTGCAGTAATTGGGTATAAATAATCCTACATTGATAGCTTCCAAATCCAAAGAGAGAAACTCATGCACATTTTTTCCTTCATCCACCTTATCCAAACCACCATTGTTCTTACCTCTATCTTTTCCTTTTTAAATCTTTAAACTGTGCAGTTTGTTTTCTTTCCGTATATATCATTTTGGAGCATTATGCATGTTCTCTGAGCATAGAATTATAGTGAAAAGAGTTGAATCTTCAAGGAAAAGCAGTAAGGAGAAATATTCTCCAAGCGGCAAAATATATTGACAGTGACTACACGACTCAATGGATTTTAGGTTTGTTCTAAACTTTTCTTATTTTTCTCTTTTCTCTTGCAAATATCGTTTATTTTCGACACTGTTATCATAACAGCATAGTGTCATAGTTAATATAACAGACTTTCTGATTTTTCTTCCAAACTTCCATGGAATGAAATTAAAAGATTGTTGAGCCAACTAACAAAGTAGTTTTCGCATGCCCTAATTGATATGGCATTTTCATGTATTGCTCGAATATTTTCGTTAGCTTATTCAATTTCTATTTCTTCTCCTAGATTTCAAACAAAGCTTGCATAATAACAAATGCCGAAGAGCATGTAAGCTAGCAAACAAAAGTTGGCGGAAATTCAAATTTGAGAAATATGCCTATCCATGGAGCAAGATGAACGTGGTTTGGCTGTCATTTATCGACGGTACTATCCTTGTACTTAATAATGGTAAGACATTTATGACTGCTTTGAACTCTACTACTTGCTATAATGAGCTTTATTAATCTGTTTTACTTCCTCCTTTGCAGCTCCTTTGCAGCTGGGCTTCTGGTTCTGGTGGTGAAGTAACAAAAGTAAGAGATAATGGGAATGACTCAATAGAAAAAGAAGCATTATCTAATTGAGGGATTGATGTTAAAGACGCTCAAGATTAGGTTGACGGAAGAAGAAGAATGATCCAAGTCTGGTGGTAGTCCAATTGGTGTTCTCATAACAATATGATGTTGCAGATTGGGGTGGATATTTATTACGTACATATATAGCTTTTGATATTATATTTTCATTGTTGAGTGTGAATTTGTCTAGGTTTCCCTGTTATACCATTGTTTTTGTCCCCCATTCGCAGTTGTATTTGTTATCTATTAGTTTGCCTTAATTGGATTTACTGGTAATTAAGAAAATGTTATTTTGGAGATCATGTTCAACATTAAAGTTTTGAAGGTAAAATAAAAAAAAAAAAAATTTCTTAAATACATTATGAAAAAATCATATGGTTTTGACAACTCATATATATGTTTATTCTTTTATTGATATAATATTTCTTTTAGTTTAAAAAAAAAATCATCATTTCTTGTTTTAAAATTAAAAGCAAATAAACTTAACTGATATAATCCTACATATGTGATATAAAAATTAAATTGATTAAATCAATTATACTTATACTATATTTTAATGACTTAACTAATGTATAGATGTTAAAAGGTATATATCAAACCTAAGAGTGTACCGATCATTTTCTTTTTATAGGCTTCCACATTTGTAACATGTTTTGGCTGCCTACTAGTCGAGGTGTCATTCTCAAATTCTTATTGCAGGCTTCTCTAAATTCCTTCTAGTCAGATTCCAACATATCTGTTTAGGACATTATCGGCTGCTCTTACCTCATGTTATTTCTCACTAAGATTACCCCATGACCAGGAGAAGTCTCAGTGCTTATAAATGGCGGCACCACAAGGCAGTTTAAGATGCAAAGAGGTCTCAGACAAGGTGATCCTCTCTCCCTTTTCTTTTTTTTGATTGTGGCTAAAGGTCTTAATGGCATCATCTCATCAACTGCATCATTGGGGCTGGTTAATGGGATTGAAATTGGGTAGTGTGGCATGAATGTAACCCATCTCCAGTTTGCTAACGACACAATTGTGTTTGGTAATGCTTCGAAAGAAAATATTTGGGATGTTAAAAGTATCATGAGGATTTTTGAGATGGTGTCAGAGCTTAAGATTAATTTTGGAAAAAGTATGCTTATGGGCATCAATGTTCCGGAAGAATGGATGACTAGGATGTCTTGTATTTTGAATTGCAAACAGGGGTCCTTACCGTGTAAATACCTAGGCATGCCGATTGGGAGTAAGCGCAGATGTATTGCCATGTGGAGACCTATGATTGACTCCTTTAAGAAGAAACTGGCCAGCTAGAAAAATAGATTTATCTCTCTTGGTGGAAGGATCACGCTCCTTAACTCCGTGCTATCTAGTCTCCCTGTGTTCATGATGTCTGTCCACTTGCTGCCTAAAGGTTTGATTCTTATTCTTGATAAAATTCGTAGAAATTTTCTTTGGGGGGTGGAGAGAATAATAGGAAGATCAATTGGGTTTGTTGGGAGAATGTGTGTAGAAGTAAATTGGATGGTGGGCTAGGTGTGAAGGATCTTAGAAAGTTCAATTTAGCGTTGTTAGGCAAGTGGTGGAGTAGACTAGCGGAGGGAGAGGAAGGTCTTCTTTATAAGGTTATTTGTGAGAAATATGGTAGTAATGGAGGTAATTGGTTGAATTGGATCGAAGAGGGGAAACAGAAGGGGTCATTATGGTGGAGGGATGTCTATAGATTAGATTATTCATGCTCTAATAGAGTTGGCTGGCTCTTAGATGGCTTTAAACTAAAGTTGGGAGAGGGTAACTTTGTCAAATTTTGGGAGGATGTCTGGATTGGGGACGAGACATTAGCCAATAAATTTCCCAGACTCTTTTTGAATTCTTTAGGCAGGACAAAGAGCATTTCTCAAATGGGATTCTGGAGTAATGGAAGTTGGAATTGGTCATTAGAATGGAGGACACCTAACTTCTCCTGGGAAGAACACTCGATGGCGGAGCTGTGGAGGATGCTGAAGACTATCCATCCAAGTAATTAAGGGACAAAAAGATTGATGGGAATGGAGGAATGACCAGGGTATGTATTCAGCCAAATCAGGATATCAAGTTCTCTCCAGCAACCTCCATAAGAGTAGGAACATCTTGCATAAAAGAATTTGGTGCAGGCTAGTCCCCACAAAAATATGTGCCTTTGCTTGGAAAGTCCTTCAAGATAGAATACCCTCCAAGGTAAATCTGTACAAGAGAGGGATAGTTCCAGATCTCAATCTAGCCATATGCATGTTATACAATGAGAGTATTGAAGATATAAACCATCTATTTCTTCATTGCAAGTTTGCATATGCAGTGTGGTCCAAATGCCTCCAATGGTGGAGAACATCTTCTGTTAGAGCTGACAATTGCTATGCATCCTTTGAACAACAAGCAACCCCCTTTAAAAATGCAAACATCAGGGCAGGATGGGATGCAGTCTGGTGTGCAACAATCTGGTCTATATGGAGTGCTAGAAATGAAAGGACTTTCAGAAATCATGACCAAGATGTCAATAGGACCTTTGAGTTGGTGCAACTGCGAACATTCCAATGGATCAAAAACAGAACAGTAGGGTACTCTTTTAATCTATGTAATTGGATGTTGGAACCTATGGAATGCTTGAAAGATAAAAGGGGAGGAAATTATAGTGCTGCAGGACGGGGGCTAGGGGTGAATTCATGACAGTCGAGAGGTGTTTTTTATATACTGTTCTGTGCTATAGGATCAGGTGGGTGTGTCGGGTGTTGGTTTGTTGATTTGAACAGGGAGATTTGATGAGAATGCAAAAGATGGCAGATTCCTCGTTACGGGTATAGTGTCGATACTATATTTGGGTGTCGACACCTTGCATTAACTGTTATGTTTATGGGTTTGGAGTACTCCTTGTATTTCGTTTTTTTTTTTTTTAATATGTTCGCTGTTCAAAAAATAAATACCCCATGACCAGGACATTCAGGGGAGGAAATAGGTTACTTCTGTTCTGGTGTTCATTGGCATGGTGGTAAATTTACACTAAGCAGATAAACTTCTTTCTTTCTTCTCCTCATGCATATGCAAAATGCATTCATGATCATGAATATGTTATTATACTCATGATTCTCATGAACAGTGCTAGTTTTGCCTCAAATGGATAGATTCTTCCTTGAAACAATGAGTTTATTGGTTTTCCAATGCCTTTTGGATTCTGCAAAGATATATAATGCAGGGTTTGGACTAGGACTCGGAGGAATACCTTGGCTGGTAATGTTACCAACGATCTGTTGATTTTGAGTAGAAGTAACTTGGTTCCCTTTAACTAAAATTTCAAGTTTGAGTCACATGAATAGAGAAACAAATACTAAGAGAGTTTTTTTTTTTTTTTATGAGATTTAACGCGACTTGATTCTAAATTAATCAGATCTAATATGATTGCCGAATACCAGGAGTTCAATACCAAAAAGAACCGTGGCTGGTAATGTTTAAGGCCAGTCAGTTTGGTCAAAACACAAAACTAGATAGTTTCTTCTTATGCCATTTTTTTTCTCTTTGGAACAAAAAAGAAATGTGGAGATGACAGAATTTTAGATAAAGTACCCCTAACATCTACTAAGAATTGTACTAAAGAAAGCAAATGCGCGCATTCTCTTCTAATTTTTTGGGATTTTTATTTTATTTTTTATTTATTCAAACATTAAAAACTGTTTTATAATTCTAATTGTTTTAAATTGTAAAACAAGAATTTTTAAATAAGGAAGGTCCAATATAAAATGGACTCATTCAAATAACACTTCTAATTTTTCTCAGTCAAATAACAAACATCCGACCTAACTAATATCTTGGAGAAATTATTTCTTTTGTTCCTATTTATAGGCTATTATTTGTTGTGGTTCGGTATAAATAATCCTACATCGATGGTGTGAAAACTCTGAGAGACAAACACATTTTTCCCTTCATGCATCCACCTTATCCAACCACCATCGTCATTACCTTTAAAATTTTCCGTTTCATATATTTAAACTGCGCAGTTTGTTTTCTTTTCTTATATATCATTTTGGAGCGTCATGCATGTTCTATGAGCATTAGTGACATGAAGTTAAATCTTCAAGGGAAAGCCACAAGGAGAAATATTCTTCAAGTGGCACAATATACTGACAGTGACTACACGACTCAACAGATTTTGGGTTCGTTTTAAACTTTTCTTATTTTTCTCTTTTCTCCTGCGCAAATTGTTTATTTTTGAAACTAATATCATAACAATAGTGTCATAGTCAATATAACAAACTTTCTGATTTTTCTTCCAAACTTCCTTGAAACCATATCATGAAATGAAATTAAAGAGTGACCTCTTCAGGTTCCTTGATGACAAGAGGGGATATTGATTCATCTATTGCTCCAACAGAAATTAATCTCAAGGAGGAGAGTAGATATTATTGCTGCTTGTAGAAACAGTAACCTCTCGTTTCCCTTTCCAAATTCAAGCGAGTCTTTACCAGGAGGGACTCAAATATTATCGTACCAAGTGACAAGTTAAGGTATCTTTGCATACCCTAATTGTTATAGAATTTTTATGTTTTGCTTGAATGTTTTTTTACTAGCTTATTCTATTTCTATATATTCTTCTCCTAGATTTTTGAACAATGCTTGCATTGTTACAAATCCTGAACAAGACTGCTTTAAGGCCAAAGCAAAGAAAGTTGGCAGAATTTGGAATTTTTGTGACATTTACCGGTTCATGGAGCTAGCCTGGAGTAAGATGAACGTGGCTAATTTGACTGTCATTTATTGACAGCATGATCCCTGCACTTCATAATGGCAAGGCTTTTATATATGAGTGCTTTGAGCTCTTCTATTTGCTATAATGAACTTCATCTATCTACTTTCCCCCTTTGCAGCTGGGCTTATGGTTCTTGTGGTGAACAAGTTACGAAGTAAGAGAAAACGGGAATGACTCGAAAGAGAGAGAGAGAGATAGAAGCATTATCTAATTGAGGGACTGACGTTGAATATGTCCTGAATTAGATTGAAGAAAGGAGAAGAATGATCCAAGTCATGTGGGCACTTTCCGGATAACGATATGATGGTGTAGTTAAGAGGAGGATATTTATTACAGATATAGCTTTTAACGTTGTATTTTCATTTTGAGTGTGGATTTGTCTAGGTTTCCCCGCTATACCATTTATTTTTTTTTGTCTCCCTTACACAGTTGTACTTGTCATATATATATACATATATATATATATTTTTATAGGAAAGACAGACTTGAGATTACGTATTAATCTCTACTTTGATTAGATATTACTTTGACTAAGATTAGGTGGACAGCTTTTGATATAAATATTGAATTTTCTTTGTATATTCAATACTCTATTCAATTTAAAAAATTAGATTATTAATAAGTAAGTATCATCTTATAAATTAAATTTAAACATTCTTATTCAATACCTTGTGATCCTTTCCCATTCTTGTATGGCAGGCTGCGTAAGTGCAAAAGAGCCAGACATCTGAAAAGAGAAAGTTTCATTTAATTCTACTGGAACTCAGACAATTTGACACAATTTATTGTCATAATGAAGCAAAAGAGAGATATATGGTAATAGACACTACAAGAAAAAGATCAATTTCTTGTATTTGTTTAAGTATTTACCCACATTTTTAAATGCAGGTATAAAGATTGCCAACATTTACACAAACGGCCACACAAATGCTGGCGTGAACCGTGCCGATTAATATCATACCTGCATTTAATGCAAATACTGGGTAAACTTTTTTTCTCTTGCATTTATTGAAAACGCAGGAAAATCATTCAAAGAAATGCAGGTAATGCCCGTGTCAAAAGTCCCAAATTATTGATGTCTTTAGTTGCAATTTTTTTTATCAAACACAAGGCCTATTTTTGGTGTTTGCCTAAATACAGGAAATTTTTTTTTTTTTGTTTGCTTTTCACTACTTTTTGGTTACCAAAGAGTAGCCGTCGAGATTGTTTTCGTTCTCCTCAGCTAAGAATTCTGAGAATCCACCACCACCACCACCACTGATTGGTGGTGGTGATGGGGTCTCAAGAAGCGGCTGAGATACGAACATGTCATCTCCAGAGCTGTATGATTGACTGCTGAATATTGGCGGTGAGTCACGGACTGAGTCTTTGACTGAGCCAACGTCAAAGTTGGAGTACAAGTCGAATAGCTAAGACGGAAGGCAGGGATCAAAGCCAATGTAGCCATCATCATCAAAGGGACGAGACGCTATTGTTTTCTGCTTCTATCTTCCCTTCTGACACCCACCGATTGCTACGATTACAGCGAGTCTCAAATCCACGATGATATCAGCAACAAATTGAGTTGAAGGATAATCAAAATGAAATAAAAAATGAGGATATTCAGAATCGAAATCAGAATCAGAATCGTAATAAGAAATGAGCTCGAGGAGAAATTGTTGGAGGAAATGAAAATTAATGTTTGGGGAAAATGCATACTAGAACTTGACCATAAATTGTTTTCAACCCGCCTTTTTTTAATTAATTCATTGTGTTTAATAAATAAAACGCAAGAATCCGCTTGCGTTTTGCCAAATGCCACTAAAGCATATAGCCAGTAAAAACCAAAAAGAATAGTTGACTGGCGTTTGGTGCAAACACAAAAAATAAAATGTAGGTAATTAGCATTTTTCTTGTAGTGAGAATGGCTGACATGATAACAAAGACAGGTAATCCGAAGGCAAACAAAATAAAAGATCAGTAGTGAGAGAGAAAGAAAGATACTAATAGTAGACGGTTTGAAATATTGTTGGGACATTATAATGTATCAAGGTTTTTTTAATTTACGTTATAAAGTAACATAAAAGTTTAAATTTTTAATCTTGATTTCAAATCAAAATTTTTTATTTAATAAATATCAATTCGACTAAGTTTTTATTGATTTCTTCATTTTTTTATTATATATGAACAACCTTATTTATAGGGTGAAGGATCAATAATATAAGGAAATGACAACTAATTTAAAATCTTCTATTAATGAGATGAGATTATAACCAATATTAAATCTTTAAAATTAATTAATTGATAAATTGATTTCTCTCTTATTAGTCAATCTTCATAATGGTATAATATTTTTTATTTTTACAATTGGATCAATTATTACATGATTTGATCCTTTTCTTTCTTTCTTTTACAATTTGATCTTCTTTACTAAGATTTTTCAACAAAAATGTCATGGACAATTATCCAGGCTATGTACCATAAGTTGCAATTGTAATTTGTCGTGCAGCAGAAGCAGATGTCACCATGAGGAAGGATGTCACTTTTTTTAGGACTTTAAAAAGCTCCAAAGGGTATAATAAAATTAAAGCTAAACTCTCTCAATTACAAATGTAAAGGAATGATTCCATAATTGAATTGGCAAATGAATTATGAAAATCTCTTTACATGGTGCCTGAAAAGGCATGCTACAGAATCATATGTTCCTTTTGGTTCGCAACTTTTGTCTATCAGTCGCGAGAAATGTTTTGAAGTTGAAAAAAAAACCCAGCTTCAATGGCCACCGGAATTCTCTCAAATTTAGCTTCCGACTCTTCCTTCCCTTCCTTGCAGGAGGCTGATCTTCTGGCTCGTAGCGTGAAGAAAATCAAGAGTAATACCACCATAAGACCCAATGGTGAAGGCTCCGAAATCACTATGACAGAATCTCACGAGTCGTCAGCGATGGCGACTCAGAGTGCAGAACAATCCCCAACTGCGGTGGAACTCGACATTATGGATATACCTCCAGCGTTATCCTTTGCGGATCTCCTCCGCAAAGAGGATAATGACCCCACCATTATTGAATTCTCCACACAGTCTGACTATCTCGATGAAGATTCTGATGTGGAGGAGGCCAGTGAGGAAAACATTCCTACAGTTCTTCTCTCAAAGGCGGATAAGAAAAGAATCCGGATTCCGTGGGTGAATTCTATCATCATCAAGGCTGCTTTTGCAGAATCAGTGGGCTACTCATTCATCTACCCACGCATCAAAGCTCAATGGAAACCCAAAGGTAAATGGGAATGCATTGACTTGGGACTCGATTTTTTTCTTGTTCGGTTTCAGGACGAGAATGACTTGCACAAAGTTGTCTATGGAGGTCCTTGGTTTGTTGGCCCTTATTACTTAACAATTAGACGGTGGGAACCAAATTTCAACCCATCCAAGGCCACCTTCTCAACCACAGTTATTTGGGCCAGACTTCCCGAACTGCCTACTGAGTTCTATGACCCTGAAACTCTAATTCGCATCGGAAACAAAATCGGGAATCTGCTAAGGGTTGATGCGCACACCATCCATCATACCAGAGGCCAATATGCCCGTTTATGCGTTCAAGTGGATATCAACAAGCCCCTGATTACTCATGTCAGAATTGGGAAACATAAGCAAAGAGTTGTTTACGAGGGAATTCAAACTCTCTGCTTTAAATGTGGCAAAATTGGCCATAAAGAAAGCCAATGCCCAGGAAACTCTATGAGCTCTAAACATCTAAATGTGGGGCAAGAGCTATTGAGGCCGATTAACTCCAGCAATATGGACCCACCAAGGGACTCTGTTTTGACCATCAATGCTCCACCTTCTACCTCGACCACAAACCCACAGCCTGAGGTTCAACCCTATGGCCCATGGATTGTTGTTGAAAGAAGGAAAAAAAAACCAGGACCAAAAGGGAGGAACAACAGTACCCAAAACGGTGTAAAACAGAAGGAATTGCCGGCGACGACGTTGCAACCAGAAACGGGGAAAATGGTGAGTAACTCCGACCCAACCGATGACCCGATCCGTCAGATCAAACCAAAGGGTAAGGAGAGGCAACCATCTAATCAACCAGCTGCTCCTAACGGACCCAAGTCCATCACCATAAATGCCGCCCACTCTCTGTTTTCTCAACCAACGGCTAGTATGTCGAGTCTCAAAATTCAAACAAAAAATGGCCCTTCTAATCCTGCAAGACCAACTTCTAAATCAGGTCCTAAAGGCCAAGTCTATAGACCCATTTATCCAACTACTAAGCCCGTTGATCCTAAGGGATTGAATACCCAAGAAGAGCCTGCTTATCCCAAGCCTATTCCCTCATTCTCTAAGCCCCAAATGGCCCAAATTCAAGACACACAGCTTCCCCAGGACCCCGAACCGAGTCTAGCTCTTTCAATCCCCATCCCCTTTACCACTCAAGTCAACACCAGTTCCCTCCACCCCCCACAGACCTCCATTGTTAACATCTCCTTGCATGATGGCGGATTTCCCATCAACCCGCCTTCTCCAAATGAGCAGCAGTCTCGAAGCCTTTCTGGTGAGCGAGGGCCAAGTGATTCGGTTGGAAAGTGCTCTACAACAAATAATCCAAACCCCATCCCCCCGACCACCGTTTTGGACCATGGACCGCATCTCCTCAACTTGGCGCTCACCTCTCCTGGTGCCGAAGGAGATCAACCCACGGAGATTCCTTCCCCTCTACCGATCACTGGAATCAGATCGCAGAGGAAAGATCGACCTCCTCTCGGTGCTGGATCTAAGTTACAACTCCGACGACGCCAACATAGACAGATCACTCACCCGTATCTCCCCTCTGAAAGTATTCTGTCCATCCAGCAAGCCTCATCTGAACATCTTGGAGGCAATAGGGGAGATGAAGGAGATGCACTTGTTTATTCGGAGCCTGTATGTCCCGATGTCCCCACAGGAGATGGATTACCAGTTTCTGGCGATCCCGTACTACTTCCCCTATGCGCAGATGGTGCTCAGCCACTCGTCCAGCCCGTCACCAATTCTGTGCCAGATGGAAGCACTTAGTGCCTTGGGTTCGACCTTCATTAACTCTTGGAATATGAAGATTGTCTCATGGAACTGCCGCGGTGCGGCTAATCAAAACTTTCTCAATCATGTGTTGGAGCTTAAAAGGATTCACTCCCCTGCTATCATGTTAATCATGGAAACCAAGCTCAATGGTGAAAGAGCCCACACTTTGGCATCCAGAATCTTCCCAGATTGTCATGTCGTGGATTCAGATGGTCTTGCCGGAGGTTTATGGCTCCTATGGGATGTCAACAAAGTGAATATTGATATTGTCTTTTCTAGCAGTCAAGCAATCCACGCTGTGGTTAAGGTATGTAATCACTCTGTCATCTCTAATTCTGACTGGTTTTTTTCTGGTGTGTATGGCAGACCCCATTTTGATATCAGATCTCTCCTTTGGCATGAATTATCTGATATGGCTAAGCATGTTAATATCCCCTGGATTATAGCTGGTGATTTTAATGATGTCACCGAACAAGGGGAGAAATTTGGGGGTAACCCTATTAACCAATTGAGAGTTAATGCTTATCTCTCCTGTATGAGTGATTGTGGTATGATGGATATGGGTTATGTTGGGGGGAAATATACTTGGGTTAATATGCGGAATTCCCGCATTATTAGGGAACGTCTTGACAGGTTTTGGTGTAATTCTAATTGTAGAATCCTTTTCCCTGAAGCTACAGTATATCACCTCCCTAGACTCATTTCTGACCATAATCCCATTTTGCTGAACCTTACCCCTCATATTCCATCTATTGGCAAAAGACCCTTTCGTTATGAGAAATTCTGGTTTGACCACCCTGATTTTATTGATATCGTTGATAGAATTTGGTCTCACCCTCACAGCAATACCTCTTCCTGTCTTGCCTCTACTATGACTAGTATCAAATTATGGAGTCGTGACACATTTGGTAACCTGTTCAAACGAAAAAAGGTCATCCTTGCTCGTTTGGAAGGTATCCATAAGTCTCTCTCCATTAACCACAACAACTTTCTCTTTGACCTTGAGAAAGATCTGTCCCATGAATACTCTGAAATCCTTAATTGTGAAGCTGATCTTTGGTTCCTTAAGTCCAGATCTGATTGGATTGTGGATGGGGATAAAAACTCTCGCTTCTTTCACATTACTACCATGAGACATAGATCCAGGAATAGAATCCTTGGGCTGTACAACCCAGAGGGGGTTTGGATTACCGATTCTATGCATCTGAAGTTTATGGTGACCAACTATTTTTCAACACTCTTTTCATCTACCGCTCCCCATTCCTTTCATGATTCATATGATCTAATTCGAACCACCACTCCTTATTCTCTGGATATCTCTGATGATTTGGCTATGCCCCCATCTTTATTTGAAATTAGGAAGGCTGTTTTTTCCATGAAGGCCTTTAAAGCCCCTGGCCCGGATGGTACTCACCCTTTCTTTTATCAAAAATTATGGCACTCTGTTAAGGATACCATCCTCCTTGACATCCAACAGATTTTTATATCAGGAATTGTCCCCCCTAAATGGAATGAATGCTTGATCACTTTGATTCCAAAGGTGGGTAGTCCTGTTAATATTAATCAGTTCAGGCCTATTGGTTTGTGTAATGTTAACTACAAGATTGTCTCTAAGATCATTGTCCATAGGCTCAAACCCCTTTTGGATTCCATCATTTCTCCTTGCCAAACTAGTTTTGTGCCTGGGAGACGCGGATCTGACAATATTCTCATCCTTCAAGAACTGGTTTACTCCTATAATAGGAAGACTGGTAGGAAGGGTGGGATGATTATCAAGCTGGACTTGGAGAAAGCATATGATAAACTTGAATGGAGTTTTATTCGGGAGACTCTTATTTTCTTCCAACTCCCTCCTACTCTCATTTCCCTTATCATGTCCTGTGTCTCCTCTACCAGCATGTCTATCCTTGTCAATGGAGAGACCACTGATCGCTTCCTCCCCTCTCGGGGTATCCGACAGGGAGATCCTCTTTCCCCTTATCTTTTTATTCTTTGTATGGAATTCCTTTCCTTAAGATTTACTGATGGTATTAATTCTGGTTTGTGGAAAGGATGTAAAGCTGGTCGGAGTGGCCCCACTCTTTCCCACCTCTTTTTTGCAGATGATCTCATCTTTATCGGGGAAGCATCCCAACAAAACTGCATGTTCTTCTCTTCTGTTATGCAAGAATTTTGTGCGAGATCCGGTCTCATGATTAATCATGAGAAGTCTAAAGTCCTTTTCTCCAAGAATGTTCAGGCTCAGACCAGGGATAACCTAAGCTCCTTGTTAGGTCTCCCACAGACCTCATCCCTTGGTAAGTATCTTGGTATTCCCATTACTGCTAAGAAAATTAAGCAAGCTGATTGTAATTTTATCCTGGATAAAGTTCGATCTAAGCTTGCTGGTTGGAAAGCTAAATTTTTTACCATGGCTGGTAGAACCACCCTTATTAAATCAGTCCTTGCTGCCATCCCTAATTATTACATGCAGTCCCAAATGCTCCCTTCTTCTACTTTGAAGGATCTTGATAAAATTTCGCGTAATTTTCTTTGGGGCTCCACTGAGAACCAACCTAAGATGCATCTTGTTTCTTGGGAAAAAATTACCCAACCTAAATCCTATGGTGGGTTGGGTATTAAAGCAGCGAAGGAAGCTAATTTGGCTGCCATGTGCAAGCTTAATTGGCGTCTCCATACTGAAAAGCATGCCTTGTGGAACCGTGTTCTCTCTACCAAATACCATATTAACAATTGCAGGTTCCAATATCCTAATCTCTGCTCCCCTGTCTTGCATAACTTTAAGAAAGGCAGCATGCTATTTTCCGAAGGCCTCAAGTGGATCCCTAGAGACGGCAATCTCATCTCCTTTTGGAATGACACTTGGTTTGGTCATAGGCCTCTTAGCTCCATTTTAAATGGTCCTCTGCTTGAAACTGACCCTTCTCTGCTTGTTTCTGATTGTGTTTCACAAGGTCAGATTATCGACAGAGCTATCTCCTATGACTTGCCTCCTTACATTGTTCAGGCCATCAAAGCTATCCCTTTGTCTTTGTTTGATTCTGGAGCTGATCAATTTGCGTGGAAACTCAATGCCAATGGCTCCTTCTCTTCCTCCTCGGCTTATTGCCTTGCCAAGAAGACTTCCCTCAGCCTGGAGCAGAACTGGTCTTGGATTTGGAAGGTCCACACCTTGCCAAAAATCCAAAACTTCATCTGGTTGCTTTGCCATAATCGGATTAAGACCCTGGGGTACCTTAACAGTATTGGTGTTATCAATTTTTCTACCTGTCCTCTCTGTTCTCTTAATTCTGAAACTGCAGCTCACCTGGTCCGGAATTGTCCTAGCTCTCGTGCTATCTGGGATGATCTTTTACCTGGATTGACTTCCCATCGGACCATGGATGCTCCACTGGTTGAGTGGTTGCGGTTCAACTGTGGTAGGAAGGACAGCAGCCCCTTCTTATCTATTCCATGGGGTACCCTCTTCTCCTTTACCATTTGGACAATTTGGATTCAAAGGAATTGTAAGTTGTACAAACCTGAGAATTATAATCCTTCTAGCAGTATTTCCATTATCAAGAACAAAGCAGCAGAATTCTGGGCTTGCTGCTCCTCACATCAACATACTAGTCAGGCAACGTCCATTGCCGTCAAATGGACTAAGCCTTCTTCAGGTGTTGTTAAGCTTAACACCGATGGTTCCTTCCTTAGCAGGTCTGGTATGGCTGCTTCTGGAGGCTTATTTAGGGATCATGAGGGGAAGTGGATGCTTGGCTATGCAAGGAATATTGGTCACACGTCTTGTTTGGCAGCTGAGCTTTGGGCCATCCGGGATGGTCTTCAATTAGCTGTTGACAAAGGATTTAATCGTTTATGCATTGAGACTGACTCTCTTACTGCCCTTAATCTTATTTCCAAGGATTGCGGTAATCACCACCCTCTTACTGCTCTCATTTTGGACTGCAGGGAACTTCTCAGTAGGATACCAGAAGGTGATATCCAGCACATCTTCAGAGAATCCAATATGTGTGCTGATTTTTTGTCTAAGTTAGGCCACTCCTTATCTACTAATTTTACTATGTATGAGGACTGCCCCCAGGGCCTGAACGTTTATCTGGCTTCGGATATGTATGGGATTGAATATCCCAGATATGTACTATAGTTCTTCCGTTAATTCTACTTCCTATTTTCACCAAAAAAA